CCGACATTTATCCCGTCGGACGACAAAAGCGACAATAGCGGCCACACCAACTTTCACCATGACGTGCACGGCGTGGGGTATCGAAAAGGTGCGTGTGCCGGGTCCCAGCGTCTCTCACGAGTTGTGTGTCGCAGGTGGTTGGAAGCTCATCCGTGTGCGAAAAGACATGGGTCGGCCCCACGAGCGAGCGCACGTCGGCGCGCTCGAGAAAGCGCTCGTGCACGACCCGATTCGCAGCGACGAGCTCGAGTTTTTCTTTACGGACCACCACCACCAATACCCGTCGAAAGCGCCGCCAGCGACCGCGACTGGACCGACGCTGTCGTCGTTGCCTCCGCCAAACCTCGCGCCCGACGAAATCGAAAAGTGGAAAAAAAGCGGCGGCGGCGGCGGACCGACCGGCCAAGGCGTGTGCTACGACTTTCAAAACAAAGGCGTGTGCCAACGCGGCGCCAAGTGCCACTTTTCCCACTGCGCGTGCCACAACGTGTGCCAGTGCACGCCGGCGGCGCACACGTATGGCCAACGGCCCGACTTTCGACGGAATGATCTCGACGCCCCGCCGCCCGAGACCCTCCTCGGCCCGACAGAGTCGTCGTCCGGAGCCGACGGCACAACCGCGCCGACGGGACCGCTAGACGACCACCATGGCAACGGCGGCGTGGAAGGAGGTGTGGCCCGTGATCACGTCCAGGTTGAGAGCGTGTTGTGTGTAGGCATCGAAGCCAGTGGGGCGAGTGCTGGTGTCGCGAAAGGAGCTGTCCTGGAATGTCTTGGTGGCGCGGCCACCATCGCGACATCTCGCGCGTCCAAGCAGCTCGCGACGGCAGTCTCGTCCGGCGTGTACGCACCATTGACGTCATGCGACAAGGAAGCAGTGGCGGCGAAGCGCGCGCTGCTCACGGCGACGGCCAACCGACGGATGTGGTCGAGTCTGGGCGTACTCGACGCGGCCGATGGAGGCGGCGCCAAGAAGAAGCTCAAGAAGGCGCCTGGACGTAGCGCTAAAGTCGGATGGATTGTGAGTGCGCTGGGCGAAGTCTCGTACGTGCGTGGTGCCACGGCGGGCGGTGACAAAGCATAGCCAATATGAAAGATCGATCTGTTCGATGTGCCTTGTGCCGACGCACGGGAATCCCGCGGCAAGTGGCGGCGAACGTGACGGATGGAGTGCTGCATTCCGAAACATATCGTCAGAGAGCAATGCATGCGCTGTGCACGAGGAAGCCGACGAGCTCAGAGACGGTCGTGGGAGTCGGACGTATGCGTGGAGGGAGCGGCGGTGTGGCGAGCGCACAAACTGCTCGGGCAAGGGAAACGAGTATATGAACGTTCGAAAAGGTGCATGGACCTCGGCGACCATCACGACCGGAGATCTAGCCGCTGCGGAACGACTTGGACCACTGCTCCCGCACACTGAGGAAAGCTTGGCCAAACGTGAGCTCGGTCAGCGGCACGTCGTTGTCGATGCCCTAGGGCATGGCACTGAGGGCACCGCCGTTGAGGGGATGGGGAGGACGTACCCGCATAAGCACGCGGTTCGCGATGGCCTGAGTATCTGTCTCGAAGATGACGCCGCCGTCCAACACTTCGTCGAACGTGAGCAGGACGAGCTCGAGGTTGTCCAGGATCGAGTGGCGATCGAGATGGCCTTTCAGCATGTTGCTGACAGCTTCAAACGCGCCATCGAGCACGTTCAGAAGGATCAACTCGTTCTACAACACGTATTGGTCGTGCGGGCCCAAGACGCAGCGGAGACATACCTCATGGGCAGCACCCACGACAAACATGGTGTTTTCGCTGTGGGAACGGAAGACAGACACGACGCTGTCCAGGAGGATGACCTCAGCTTCTTGCCGCGCATTCATGGTCTTGGTCTTGCTCCAGATCTTCTTCTCGAGTGCAGTTTGTTCCTTCAACGACGGATACGCGACTCGGTCGTAGTACTTGGCACACAGCCGGGTGCCTTCAACGTCGAGCACGAAGATCGCCTTCACGCTGGGGTTGGATCCATTCTGCCCTGCGCCACTCTACGTGGCATATCGCATCGTCATGAACCATGTTCTCACAGAAAAGACGGCATCGAGGTCCGGCCGTACCATGCTGTGTGTGGCGGCGATCTCGAGTGACGTGTTTTGTCGCGGATTTCGTCAAGAGGACGTTTTTGAACGGTGGAGGGAATTTAAACAAAGCCTATGGCTTATGCATTGAAAAAAAACTGAACCATTCGCTAAAGTACTCCTTCTCTTGATTGGATAAATTTGTCACGTTGGTGGTAATTGATTGGCTACATTTTGAAAGTCGAATATGCCAGTTACACTGTGTTGGTTACCTGTCGCACCATGCCCGCTGCCGTCGACAACAACGCGGCAGCGATCGATGCGGCGTCGCAACGGGAGACCATACGCGCTGCTTTCAACGCATTCGATGTCGATGGCAACGGTCGTATGGTAGCTAGTGAGCTGGCGGAGCTTGTGACAAGTCTGGGCGGCGCGGTGTCGTCGGTGGAGTTGGAGGCTGCACTGCGCGTGCTGGACAAAGACAGCGACGGCGTGATCGATCTGGGCGAGTTTGAACGGTGGTGGATGCATGCGTCGGACGATCTGGACGGCGATGGACACATGGGTCAGATGGAAAAGGCGTTGGCTCGACTCAAGGAGCTCGGGCAGAAGCGTTTTCACGTCGACATCCACACCGCATGCTGGAACGGCGACATGGACGTTGTCTCGCGCCTCGTCCAAGCCGACAAAGACGTTGTGCATGCCAAGGACGCGACTGAATTCGGGGTATACCATCATCGCATTCCCTCGACAGGAGCTCCATCGCAACTTTGTAGGACTTGAACACGCCGCTGCATTACGCTGCTTACCAAGGCCACACGGACCTGTGTGCGTACCTGGTACTGATCGCCGCCTCTGCGTCGCTAATACACAGCGTAGATGGATCATGCAAAGGTCGATGCTGTCAACGCCATCGGATGCACTCCTTTGTTCTTTGCGTCACAACAGGATCGCCGAGACGTTGTCGAGCTCCTCCTGCGGGTATTGCTTCGCCATGGCAGTGTGCAGGATCGAGGCAGCACTGTGCTCGCTTGACATGGGTTGTGGTGTGGCGCGGTAGTAGAAAGGCGGCGCAAATGCCCGGCTGCGTGAGACGGAGGTCCTTCCGTCCGCCGTGCTTCGTCATGCTCACTCGTGGGTTCGGTAGCACCATTTCAGCGCCGTCGACGTTGCGAGCTCGACGGAAATGCTCCAAGTGTTTCGAAACCATCGGCCAAATGACAGTACGTGCTTGGTCACCGTCCGTGATGAAGTCGGCCATCTCGTGGTAGAACCGGCGGCGCCTTCCGCGCCCGCGATTTCCTCCGCTGGCCCCACGGGCGTCCACGTCACTTGGTGAGGCGCATTCGTCCACCGCACGTCCCTTGACCAAGCGAATAGCAGGCGTGCGCCGGCGCCGAAACCAACCGAGTCGCTGCCGATCTCGGGCTACAAAGTCAAATTCACCGCCACGTCGCCGTCCCAACAGCCTCCTTTCCTCAAGCTCGTCGGGCCGCATCCGACTGCGCTGCGGATCGACACCCTTGCGAAAAACACACTGTACACTGTCCAAGTCGCTGCCGTGACGCTGCATGGAGCCAGCGACTACAGCGCCGCCGTCACCGTCTCGACAGCCGACGCAACCACTGTCCCCAACGATGCGACGACTTCCGCGCAAAGCTGACGCAGACATGGTGCTGTGTTGTCCACAAACTGCCATCATAATCCTTGAATGCGACGGCGCATGCTACCGGGCAAGGACGCCAACTTTTCCATCGCATACCACACATTTGCACAAAAGTAGTTAGTCGGTGGCCTCGCAGTCATCCTCGTCGTCTACGCCGACCCACGACTCGAACGCCATCAGGAACTCCTACAGCAAACACATCGCGTCAGCAAAATCGACGGAATCCTCACCGCCGTGCCTTGAACGTGATGCTTCCGTCGTGATCCCAGTCCATTTCGTTGAACCGGCGTTGGGTGATGAACGAGTTGGCAGGGCAGGTGACCGTGGCGTCGGAGGCTGTGCCAAGAAGCGAGGCGGCCGTGAGCAAGTCGATGGAACGTAGCTCTCGCACCTTTGAGGAATGACCGCTGCTTGGACGTCTTTTTCGTCGGCGAATGTTCATGCATGGATTCGTGCAGTCGGCTTAGCATTTCATTCCTACCGTACAAGATGAACCGTCTGGACGCGGCGGATGAAAGCACCTTTCAATGAGCCCGTCGCCGTCGATGTCAAACCACAAAAAGACGTCCACGGCCAAATGGAACGCCTGGCGTAGCTTGTTTCCCTGCCATCGACATGGTGAGGCGACAACTCCTTGGGGTGGTTTGTGGTTGCACGTACGTCGCCAAAGAGAAGCGACTTGGGCTCGCCGTCCTTGATGGAGCTGTTCCTACAAGCGTCAACATATGCGCTGAGGACGGCGTGTGGAAAAGCGAACGCAGTACAAGGGCGCGTAAAAGATGCTGAGTTGAGGCTGGCCATCGGGTTCGCGGTCGTCCAAAGCTGGGATGCGCTGAGGGACTACGATCAGGAAAGGGGGGCTCGAAATCGCCGGGGGACGTACATGAAGGACAAAGCCGATTGCAAGACACACGAGGAATTCTTTGAACGTAAGACGTCCGGACTCGGTCATGTCGGCCTCGTTGAAGGCGTCGTAAACCTCGTCCTTGGTGAAATTCCCACCGAGTCGATTCAACGCTTCCTCCATGTCTCCAAAGCTGATGGACCCTGCACGTTGAGAAGCATGAGAAATAGACGAGGAGTCAAGGGTATTCGTGTGCCTACCTTGCTTGTGCGTGTCGAACGCGTCAAACGTACTGCGCACACTATCGAACGCTTGCTTGAGAGATGGACCCTTTAGCAGGATCTTGGTGAAGGGGTCATGCTTGTCGTGACTGTGGGCGTCGTTCTCGCGGCGCACTCGGAGCTCCTTGAAGGCGTTGATCAACCTGCACACGTCACCCTTACGCCTTGGGGACGGTGCTTTCTTACGTACTTTTGATCCAGCGACGACGACACATGATGGGGGTTGGGTTGGACGCTGATCTCGTGCGTGATAATGGGTGGAGGAACCGGATGTCCTGCATGGGGGTGGTGGTGTACGGCCGCCACTCCAGCGCGATCTTCTCGTGCGGATGACGGCGACCCGGCCGATGCCTTGTTGCCCATCTCGTGTGTGGTGATGTCGTGCCGTGGCGAAGACTCGCCCGCCACGAGCGTCTCTTCGAACCGTACTTGCCTCGTAACGTCCATGGACGTGCGTCTATTCTTGGGGAATTCGAAAATGGAACGCTTCCATCAGCGGCGTTCTCACGTGGTACTTTTTCTACTGTGTCAACATTTTGTCGTTTTTTTTTCGACAAAGTGCTCCAACTGTGTGGATTTTGGTAATATTTTGACCTCATTTTCAACGTCTTGCAGAATACAACCACCAACCCACCCAAGTGGAGGAATGGCCTCGTGAGAACAATTTTTTTTCCCCATTTTCGGACAATTCCCGACGATTTGTCGAAATTTTGACACATTTTGTGCGTATTTGTAGTAGTACTAGGAGGTGGTACTAGTAGTACCATGAACAAACTGCATCGATGGAGAGCCCACGATCGGCGAAGAAGACCAAGAAGCCGGCGGCGGAGGGCCGTGGGAAGAAGCGCAAGGGAGATGAATTAACACGGTCAAGTACACCCACTTCTGCTGGCGGCGGTCAGAGCTCGCCACGGCTTCCAAGACAAGACTCTCGGTCGGGTGCACGTGCGTCGCCATTGCGACGACTACACTCGAGCGGGTCCACGAGAGACCTCTCCAGCATCGCGGCCATGAAGCCCCTCATGAGCGGAGAAATGACGGAAAGCAGTACGTCAATATGTTGGTGCTGTTTGTGTTCATGCGGACCATAGTCAAGCACATGATGCACGGCTTTGGCGATGTGTGGGAACCAGATCCCGACACTGTCGAACTCATGGAAGAGATCGTTGTCGAGTACATCCGTTCGATGGTACGCTCGGTCCTCCTCGAGTGGATCAGCTTATCCGCGCCTGTGTAGACGAAGAAAGCGATGGAAATATCGGCGATCCGAGGCAAGTTGGACGTCGACTGCCTCCTCTTCTCGGTGCGCAAGGACGAAGAAACTCTCGATCGCGCAAACGAACTTCTGGCTGCAAACGAATTGCTGAAGACTGTCCTGAACAGCGGATTCGATCCCATCGAAGAGAAATGAATTCCTTTGGCATCGTCACACCAGTATCCGCCGACCGGCAACACCAATCTAGATAGCGCCGAACGACCAGTACGGCAGTACTGCCGTATCAGACTACGTGCTTTGGTGCTTTCCTCATGTGCACCTGTCATTCGTCGTCCAAGCATGAGCGCCCCTATGCATGTGTCCGTGTGGTGCTGCTTGTCATTGCTCGCATTCTCTTGATCATCGTGACGACAGTCCAGGTTTCTTCCCCCGCCAGAGCGGGGACTCTCTTGTCCGCATCGTTCCTTCCTTCTGCACCTTCGTTTTCGTCGAGCTTGCCAACACCGCCGCCATGAACCACCGATAGCACCCTTTGTGACTGCGTGATGCGTATTGAACACGCATGGTCCGAGACACCGGTATCGACTTGTGTTCAGAACTCGCACCACCTGGGCTACTCGAGATACGTTTCAATCGCCTCCCTACACTCGCCGCGACGACATCGCGACGTCCAAGGCGTCGCTGCGGCTGTTCGCTCCCTGCGCCGACATGCACATGTGTCGTGATGGCAAAACTCTGCACCCTCGAGTTCTCGTATCCGGACTAGTCCGGATAACTCGAAAATGCGAGTTTGATTACATGAGAACGAGGGGACATGAACAAGAGAGTGCAAGATGCCGACGGCTTCCGCGGAAGCGTCCGCTACGAAGGGCCGATCCAAGGCAAGAATGCATCTACTGTCTACTGGGGTACGTCGTCGTGATGAACATGCATGAGTTGATCGTGCTCTAGGAGTCGACTGGGACGACCCATCTCGCGGCAAGCATTCTGGCGAATCTGGCGGAGTTCGATACTTTGAAGCTGCGCATCCCACCAGTGGGTCGTTTGTGCTGCCAGAGAAGGTCAGTTTGGGCATTGGCATCTTGGAAGCATTGCACGAGCGCTACATGCAAAGCGAAGACCTCGATTCCCGCGCAGCTGGGCGCGTCGGTACTTCCAGCGGGAGTTCGAAGCCCATTCAACTTGTTGGGGTGCGCAAGATCCAGTACGTGGAGCACATTCACCACGTTCGTGCCATCATGTGCTGTGGTAGGGAGAAGCAAGACCTTGGGGTCATCGGAAAGGTGTCGGTCGAGGTAAACGACTTGTCCTTTCTAGTGAGTAGCGCATTCATAGTCCGTAGGGGAGCCAAATTTCACACATTGGCAACGAAGGTGAGCTCTACCGAGTGGCGCCAAACATCGTCGAGCTCAACTTGGGCTTCAATCTCTTGTCGTCGTGGAGCGAGGTAGACCTGTGCCATCCCACACATCGCGTCACTCATCGAGTCACGTGCCGCATTCATAGGTTCTGAAGCTCTCGACGGAATTGCCTCAGCTCGAACACTTGGTCCTGAGCGGCAACATCCTCACGTACGACGTCGACGTGGCGGCGCCTCTCGTGACGTTCCCAACCGTGCACGTTCTCGTAATGCATTACACTCGTACATCGTGGGGAGACCTCCTGCGCATCTGCCGCGACCATTTCCCTGCCCTCCGCGAACTTCATGCTGCCTCCAATCAACTCACCGATGACGCACTGGTAACGGTGCCATGCCACCTTGTTCGGCATCGTGTCATTCATGACTCTCTCGTCGGCATGGTGCATAGCGCCAAGCAGCGGACATTCCATCGTTGTTGGAAGTTGTGGATTTATCGCACAACCAAGTGACGGAATGGTCGAGTGTCGAGAGCGCCGTTGGGACATGGCCTCGGCTGCACACCCTCTCTTTGAACGGCAACAATCTAGCCCAAATTCAGCCGCCCGCACCATCGTCGTCTCTCTTCTTGCAGCTCGCGTCGTTGTCACTCTCGAACAACGCGTACGTCGATACATGAACGTGTCGAAATGGCGCTTCTTTTGCCATCGTTCTCGCCCATTGTGGTGCCATCGCTCTCACTTGGAGGTATCTCCATGTAGAATTGCGGACTGGGCATCTATCGATGCACTCAACTCGTTTCCGTCGCTGGAGGCCCTTCGTCTGACCAGGAACCCGCTCCTCATGAACGTCGGCTCTGCCGAAGCGCGCATGGTGTGTGTGCGATCTTTGTCGAGCAATCTGCTGCCGTTTTTGCACCTTACGATCGTGGAATGGGCGCCGACGAGATCATGTGGCTGTCGTAGCTCGTGGTCGCCAGATGCGCGTCGCTCAAAGTTTTCAACTCCAGCGACGTTCGCCTCAAAGTACGTGACCATGCTCGACGACGTGTCCCGCCTCTTTGGTTGGCGATGCCGTCGTTCGTTCGATTGATTGGATTCCCGAAGGAGCATCAAGATGCAGAGCACATGTACCTGAAGCGCATTCTCCATGAAAAGGCGACCGTGTCAGCCTTTTCTAACCGCACGACACTGCTGACGCACCACCCTCGCTTTCCCGAGCTCCAATCGCTCTACCCCGACATTTGTGTACGAGCTCTCCACAGAACGGCTCCATCATGTCCTTGGTGTGCCACGTTGCGTAGGCGGCCCATGACGCGGCAACGACGACGCTGGGCGCCACGACAGGTCCAGCGGCGCTTGCCAAAAGTTTAGCCAAAGTCACGTTTGTTCCGATGAGCATGAATGCGACCACGATGGACACAATGGTCAAGGCGCTCCCGTTGAGGTACGTCCGATACGCCCCCCGTCGATGGCGCGTCATGGGATGTTGTGATGGGGTTCGGCAGCATGAAGGTTGCCCAAGTCAAGTTGCTGGTCGAGAAGAAGTATGGGCTCTTGCCAACCCAACACCACTTGTCGTTTCGAGCGTCCAAAAAGGTATGCAGAGAACTTGCCCACCACTCCGTCCACGAACGACGGTGGTAGGCCATGCCGATGCCACTCGACGACGACAATGGAGAACTCGGGTACTTTGGCGTCCAAGAGGGCGGCGAGCTCTTGATCAATGATCTCTTGTGACGCGATGCATACTATCCAACTCGATGATTCCTGATTTTGTGCCATCTCGTTTGACGTGGGTCGATGCACGCGCTAGTTCCGCGAGGACGTGCCGCCCGTTGACCCTTGCACGCACGCGCGCTCGTCGACGACCGCAAGGACTCTCGACGACATTCCATTCGACTACTCTACCCCGTATAGTCTTGGCCTTTTCGAAACAAAAAGTCGGCGAGGTAGTCGATCGGGTCCTCTGGCTGGACCTTGACGACTTCCAGCATGCCTTCGGTCAAGACCGGAATCACGGTTTCCATGAGGTACGCGCGCAGGGGCTTGGACCGCGCTTCCAAAATGTCCATTTCTTCGCGCTGGATGATTTCGAGACGGGACTTTTCACTCAACGCGCGCGACTGCTTCTCACTCAGTTCCTTCTCGATGGCTTCTGCCTGGCGCTTCTGCTCCGCCTCGGCTTCCGCGGCCTGCACAACATGACAACACGATCTGTCCACAATGGTTGTCGCACCATCTGCGCATCGAGCTCGCGCTGCGCCGCGTCGACCTCCTCCGGCGTCGGGTGAAAGTTGAACGGCTTCCCGCCCTGCTCCATGTACTTTGCAATCGGGTCGACAAAGTGCTTCTTGCTATGGTACATCTCTTCCGAATCCAACACCAACTCGAGGACGTCGACGTTTTGGTCCCGCTCCCAGTACGCGACGACGCCGACCTGGTTGGTCGCGCTCGATTCGTGCTTGAACAAGTCGTACCTGCATCACGACGTGAGGACTCTTTGTTGGAAAGAGGACATCGCACCGCCGCGTGAACTCTGCGTCCGTGTTGCCCGTCTTCTCGGCCTCTTCTTGGCTCAAATTCTGCGCGCGGGCCTCGAGCAGCGATCGCACCGCGTCGAGCACGATGACACGGTTCGGCACATAAACGTTGGGGGAGTTGGGCTTGTCCTTGGCGGCCGCGCCGTCGTCGCCGGGCTTGGACTCGTCGTCATCGTTTTCCTTTCCTTCGTCGGCAGCCTCTCCCTCCTTGGACTCGTCCCCCGTCGAGTCTGGTGCGGCCACAAAAAACATCCCCTTGGCTTGATCGACCGTCATGGGAAGCCCGTCCAAGACGTACCCCTGGTTCCGGCACACAGGGGCCATGAGCTTCCACCGGATGAGTTCCGTGAGAAGCGGCTCGGGAAGATCTTTCAGGTTGAGTCGGAACTTCTTGACTTCTTCTCGGAGGTTGACGAGATGGTCGTCCAGGTTGGCGGTCATGAGCAAGTCGGCCGCCACAGACGACGGCGTCAAATGCGGCAGGTAGTACGTTTTCGCGAGAAACGCCGAGAGGTGCGACTTGCCCACTTGCGGGGGACCGAGAACGACGGCACGCAACGGACGCAAGTCCATCGACTTGATGTAGTCTTCCGCGACTTGTTTGATGTTGGCGACGAGACCGAATTCGTGCGTCCATTCAATCTCCAACGCTTCCATGGCCCCGCCACGCGTGTCGAAGCGCAAGTTGAGCTGGAGGTACGCCATGCTCTTCTCCCGCACCAGCATTTCCTCCGCCTCCGCTGCGTCGACGTCTCGCAGCCCGCCGCTACCAAGCGCCTCGCTGATCGCGCCGCATACCTGGATGGGTTGTGTGAAACGGCCGATTCAAAGACGGGGGCGCGGTAAAAGAACGTGTTGGCGAATAAAACACACCAAGCAATCGCATTTCCGAACCAGGAGTGATGGTAAATCGCAAGCATTGCAATAAAAGACGTACTTCGCGAAGGGTGGATTGGCTCTTGTCGACAGCAATCAAGTACGATGTCGACGGTGGCGGCGACGCCACGGCCGCCTTGGCCACAACGCGCGCGAGATCGTAGACGCTGATCATGGGAAGGACATTTGCGCCCTTGTTGTCCAAGACACTCGGAACGACAACATCTTCTTCGGGGTGCAACCAAGCGTTCCTACACGTTCCCATCGCGTTCGATCACCCTGCCGATCATGTACATGCGCAGAGACGTTTACCGAAGGATAGCATGGAGGCTGGATTGAGCGCCGCCATAGATGAGCCCCGGAGCAATGACCAACGTTGTGAGGCCCTCGCGCCGCGCGCTCAAGACTTGCGTCTCGATCGCCTTGTATTCCGCGTACTTGCGCGCGGGCTTTCTCGTCTTGAACGTTTCCTCGCGGTGGCCCGTCCAGTCTTCTGGGCGCGGCGCAGGCACTGGCGTCTTGGCCCACGTGAGCACGCTCGAAATTGCAATGAACAGTTTGTCGCCGCTGTTGCCTTCGTCAAACGTCTTGAGCGCTTCAATGATTCCGTCGGGGTCGTCCAAGATCGAGTAGATGGCCACGTCGCATCGCTTCAGGAGCAAGCCCACGTTGTGCTTATCCGAGTACGCCACGACCGGGCTCTCCACAAACGCATCGTTCGGGTCGTCTGCGGCCAACGACGTCTCGACGAGCTCGGCGGACCTGTTCTCAATCAGGCGCTTCTTCGTCGACTGGATCTGCTTGAGATGCTCCACGGCGCCGACGACTTCGCAGTCCTTGATCTGTTTCGCGATCTCTGCCCCAAGGGCCGACGACAAGTTGCTCACAAAGATTCGCATCGGTCGGTCGGTCGTTAATGTGCCTTTGGAGAACCGCCGAGGTGAAACCGCCGGGGGTCGAAACGACTCGAAGTGAGTTTTAAATCGGTTTTAAATACAACGGTCGACGTTGAATATCGACGTCGAAGCCATTTCAAACCTTTTTAAAAAATGAATCGAAGAGACGACGTGGTTTTAAAACATAATTCGAATGCACGACCACAGACGCTCCTCCGCGCCATGTCACCCATCGCAGCCATGCCGTCACATGCAGAAGATCAGGTGAACCCGCATCCGCTGCACGGGACACGTACGTTCGACCTCTTACGGCAACGAACCTGCTAGTGGTATGCGATCCACCCATCGCAACGCGCGCGCGTCGCTCGAGCGTGACACGATGACTCGTATGTCGGTGGGACGCACGTATCTCAGGGTGCCTCTGCCACGACCCCGCATCCAGTGCGATGTCCTCGGCACCATCCGAATTTTGTCGCAAGAACAGTATGGACCCCGTAGGCAGCGCTGCATTTCTTTGCGTCAACTGCACGGCACCGCTTGCATGGCGCCTCGTCGAAACGTCGAACAATGGATGGACCGACGCGATACTCGGTGGCATTACTGTTACGTCCGATGTGTAGCGGCCGCCGCATTCACTTGGCACTGCGTGGCGTGCAGTTGGGTCTGGATGTCGTTCGACTGATGGAGGAGC